CTGCCAGAATCAGACTGGCAGCTGCCACCAACCACTGGCAGCTGCCAGAATCAGACTGGCAGCTGCCACCAGCCACTGGCAGCTGCCAGAATCAGACTGGCAGCTGCCACCAGCCACTGGCAGGTCACATGACCTGTCAGTGGCAGCTCCTGCCAGCCAGTTGAAGATTGAACCCCCACTCGCGCGCTGACTGAATTCTAACTCACAAATTCTCTCATCATAAACAACAAAGTGCAGATCTACGTCCGATGTAAGTATAAGAGATTTATTCATACAGCGTATATTCGCTGAGTTTAACGCGAGTGTTTTTAAAGTGCATAACGCGCTAGACTGAGCTTGTGATGATGTTGTTTGGTAGTGTAATGTTCTTTGCTTGTTTTCTGTAGCTGCTTTTTGAATAACTGAGGAAATGTAAGCATTATAATTAGTAACTTACGATGTTTCTATTAATTTGTTATCATGTTAAATACAAATTCGGTCTTATTAAAAACATTAGGCTGCTTTTATCCTTACGCTGGAGTTGGTTCACTTTCCCACAATGAAACTAAGTAAATAATTAGGCTACATAAATTAGCACGATAATATCGTGTATCTGTGATCTCACAGGCTGACGATACGACGATATGAAAATTGAGCATATCGCCCAACACTACTGCCAGCTGCAATCACCAATAAAACATTGTTCCTTATTTTGTTCTATATCGTCATAAATATCTTTATAGCAAATATTCTTGAAATGTCATGATATAATTTAGAGGTTATATCGCCCAAACTTCTACTATTCCTGCCATAGAAAAATATGGTCAAAATAGAAAGAGTAGCATGCTGTTCCGAATTCACCAACAGTCACTCGTTCAGTTCCTGAATGAATCTGTGTTTTGAACAAAACGGTTGCGTGAACGTTCCAATGACTCACTAAGAAAGACATTGGAGTGATATACAAACAGTTAACAGTCCCAGTGTAAAAAAAACAGCCACAAAGAAGTGACTCACTGTATTCTGTGAGTGTGCTCTCATCCTGCAGCACTTTACCCTGGTAGATCAACCTCTGCTTATCCACCGGGATTTCAACAGCAGAAGCGATGTGCTCTTTAAACTGCTTCACTGTCCACTGAGAGAAAGTAAGAGAGGTGACAATCAGATTACAAAGGCAAACGTAATTGGTTTATCGATTTCAAGTGTATTTAACAGCCTTTCAATATAGCGGACTGGGTTATACTTGTTAAATTAGCTAGTTGGGTAACACACAAAATAATCATAGCACAAATAAACTCCTCACATAATGTTTTTGTCTATGACTGATAATATCGTAAAGCACACAGAAACAGACCTCTCCCCTGACAGTGAACGTCCTGCTCTGGGAATCCAGAGTTTTCACGGTCACCTCTATGGCTCCTGGTTCCTCCATGACTCCAAAGTTTCTTTAAAAAGGCGAGATGAAGAAGAATGCTTCCAAAAATGATTACAAGGACTAATGTTAGCAATTAAACTCTATGAATCATAACATCTACAGGTGCATCTCAATAAATTAGAATGTCGTGGAAAAGTTCATTTATTTCAGGAATTCAACTCAAATTGTGAAACTCGTGTATTAAATAAATTCAACGCACACAGACTGAAGTAGTTTAAGTATTTGGTTCTTTTAATTGTGATGATTTTGGCTCTTGTTGTCTCATTTTCTTCTTGACAATACCCCATAGATTCTCTATGGGGTTCAGGTCAGGTGAGTTTGCTGGCTAGTCAAGCACACCAACACCATGGCCATTTAACCAACTTTTTTTAACCAACCCTTCCTCCAGACTGTAGGACCTTGGTTTCCAAATGAAATACAAAACTTGCTCTCATCTGAAAAGAGGACTTTGGACCACTGGGCAACAGTCCAGTTCTTCTTCTCCTTAGCCCAGGTAAGACGCCTCTGACGTTGTCTGTGGTTCAGGAGTGGCTTAACAAGAGGAATACGACAACTGTAGCCAAATTCCGTGACACGTCTGTGTGTGGTGGCTCTTGATGCCTTGACCCCAGCCTCAGTCAATTCCTTGTGAAGTTCACTCAAATTCTTGAATCGATTTTGCTTGACAATCCTCATAAGGCTACGGTTCTCTCGGTTGGTTGTGCATCTTTATCTTCCACACTTTTTCCTTCCACTCAACTTTCTGTTAACATGCTTGAATACAGCACTCTGTGAACAGCCAGCTTCTTTGGCAATGAATGTTTGTGGCTTACCCTCCTTGTGAAGGGTGTCAATGATTGTCTTCTGGACAACTGTCAGATCAGCAGTCTTCCCCATGATTGTGTAGCCTAGTGAACCAAACTGAGAGACCATTTTGAAGGCTCAGGAAACCTTTGCAGGTGTTTTGAGTTGATTAGCTGATTGGCATGTCACCATATTCTAATTTGTTGAGATAGTGAATTGGTGGGTTTTTGTTAAATGTGAGCCAAAATCACCACAATTAAAAGAACCAAAACAGAAAGCATTGTATTGCACGACTGGACACAATTACTCCCTTTACAATGTTATCATTTTGGGACAATATCAGAATTTGCAGTGGAAGGTTACACACATTTTTAAGCTGTAATATAAATGTTAATGCAATCAAAATACATTTTCAATAATTGGGTGCAAGTTCAGAACATCCATGTGCATGTGTATACATACAGTATATATTTAATATATATCTTATTTATTATCCAATTTTATGTTTTATAGAGTCTTTGGCACAGAAATTGTCATATTGGACTTTAGCTCACTGGCAGATCAGCACATTGCACAAAATCCACAAGGCCCATTTTGCACTTCCCATAATCATTACCCATGACCATTACTGCGTTTATGTAATTTAATCACAGTGATCATTGGATAGTCAGATGGTCAGTCTGAAAGATTGCAGACCATATATTGAGTAACGCTGGTACAGCTCTGAATTGCGGTCAAAGATCAAATTCAGTGACAGTGACCAATTAAATTTGATTTTCCCTTGTGAAAAATAAGTACACATTAGCATACTTTTAAAAAGAGTACTTAATATACTTAAGTGTGAACTGAATGCAATGTTTTCGGACACTTAACTGTATGTTAATTGCAATTAAAGGGTTAGTTCACCTAAAAATGAAAATTATGCTGCGTTTTACTCACCCCCGAGGCATCCTAGGTGTATATGACTTTCTTCTTTCAGACGAATCCAGTCGGAGTTATATTAAAAATTGTCTTTGATCTTTCAAGCTGTTTAATGGCACTCAGCGGGTGTTGCATTGCTTCAGTCCAAAAGAACTTAAATAAAAAGCGCCCATCCATAAAAAAAGTGTCTCACACGGCTCCGGGGGGTGAACAAAGGCCTTCTGTAGCGAATCGATGCATTTTTGTAAGAAAAATATCCATATTCAAAACGTAATAATCACTTGAATCTAGCTTGCGCTCAGTGTTGTAAACAGAAGCAGTTCCTCGGGGGTGAGTAAAACACAGCCTAATTTTCATTTTTGGGTGAACTAACCCTTTAAATGAAATATTATTACAGTTTAAATTAACGTTAAAGGCAATTTATTTGACCCACTTAAGTAGGACTTAAGTCAAAGTCCCTTTATTCTATTGTCTTTGCTTAAGTACATCGTTGTATTACATGCATTTGTATTAATTATTGAAAGTAAAAATACTTTAATGTCATTTCTATTGAAAGTTTTGTCACATATTTAAATAATTTTGTAATTACACATTTGCAATGAAGTTGCAGTTAAGTACTTAAAATATATTAACCAAGTACTTTACATGTGCTTTAGTATGTTAATAAACACATCAAAGTAAGAGTGTCTTCAAAAGCATGACAAAAGATTATTAACACATAATGATTTAAAATTTACTTTTTAATTTGAAAGTATTACAAAGTGTACTTAAGTGTATTAAGAAACAGTTATAAAAGTATACTTTCTTTAAGTGGCCTTTTAATTCATTCATATTATATTATCTGCAAGTACAGTTTTTTTTTAATGTACCTAAAAGATTTGAAGTACACTACAAGTGCACATTCAATACAATTAAGCACACTTCTTTTTCACAAGGGGTAGCACAGTTTAGTATAAAGAAAGCTATTATGTGACATAATAAGAAAGAGATTACACTTGCCACTCATGAGCAGAGGTGTGTGAATGTGACAGGAAACACATCCCACAAGGATTTCACAAGATTATGAGTAGTGGAAAAGCAGTTGTGACAAAATGTGCTTACGGGCGAGTAAAGAAATTGCTTAAACTGCTGTTACTGAAGATGTAAAAAATAAACTGCTGCAAAATGAATCGCAGGGTTAATCTTTGAGAATTGCTAAAGCCTTTCACTAATGAAAAATAAGTCACTTGGGTAAAGCTAAAAAGATGTCTAAATACAAATAATCATTGCTTTTTTTTGTAGCACAACGTTCCAGTAAGACCCTCCTCATTGTGATCTAGAAGTATATTTAGGGTTTAAAAGAGAAATCTGGAGAAATTACATCACTTGCTCACCAATGGATCCTATGCAGTGAACTGGATGAAGCATTATTACAGATTTATTTAGGCAAAAAGCAACAGTTTAAAGTTAAAATGCCTTATAGATTGATTTGTTTCTTACGAACACTCATCTTTTTGCTTCACAAGATGTTAACCGATGGACTGTGAGTCGTGTGGATTACTAGTGAATTATTGTCAACTGTTTGGACTCTCATTCTGACGGCACCCATTCACTGGAGAGGATCCTTTGGTGAGCAAATGATGAAATGCTAAATTTCTCCAAATCTGTTCCAATAAGGAACCAAAACAAAATTTTCAGCAAACTGCGAGCTGTTTCTTTCAAGGGGGATTGCTGCTAAAATTCACAGAGACTATATCACATATTGAATTTAGTTGGACCCCTTAGACCCCCTGACAGCCCTGGTTCTGAGTGAAATCGTAGTGTTTGAAGATCTGGTGCTAAAGTTAACTGGGCAAGTTAATTAACATCTTTCACCACAGGGAGGCAGTCTAAAACTAAAGCTGTATTGCCTCTACTCACTACATAGTGCAACAGTAATCTCATGTTAGTATTGCGGCATAGTAACATTGACAAGTACTACACATTCTGCGTCTGATTTACATTTGTGTCCACTTATATTACAAGAGTAAAGAAAGATAGTTCAACATTGACAATATTCATACAATTAAAATCCCCTTATGTGACACCTGCAAAGCTTATGAAATAAGAGATGAACTAATAAAGACTGAACTAAACTAAAGCTCTCATGACAAAAAAAAAAAAAAAGCTCACCACCCACACCAGATAACAACAAACACGACGGCGTAATACTCCTAGCACTGGCGTGAAGATCATAAGAAAGAATTAATACAAAGATTGAGGCATTTGTGTTCTTACATGAACTCACACACTCACACTGCAGCTTTCACACCAGATTATAATGAAGAAAATGCACACATTATTGTGCCTCTTCCACAGACAGACCCACATACGTAAGTACAGTAAGGTTTTTTTGTGTTAGCACACAAATCATTGCAGTCAGATTATGAAAGCAGTTATAAGGTAGAGAAACATTTACATGTACATATTAAGCATGTGTATAGGCATTATGTACAAAATGTCTTCATGTACATATATTGTCAGTTCTCTAGCTAACACTACTCCTCGTTTTCTGGCATGACCCGTTACAAAATATCACCCTTTTACTCAGCCATGGCTTTTCAGTTTTATCTCGGCCAATAACGCAGTTAGAAGTCTATGCTTTGTGATGGTATCGTCAGATTATGGCAATGCATTCAAACTCCACTGATGTGTCAGTATTAGTTGCTGGAGTGTTATCTAGTGGGGTAGAGCGCTGTATATGAAGGCACCCGCAAATATCAAAGGATTCAGTCCTGCCCTGAACTCTCAGTAATTCTGTAATGCTCTTCCTCTGGCACAACCTGTAACCGGGCATGTTGCTCTTCTGACATTTTCAATCTGGGCAAAAAATAAATAAATACATAAATAAATAAAAAAGATGCATGGTATAAACATGTGGCCGATACCGATAAGCAGATAATTGTTGTTATGCACAATAACCGATAAATTACGGAAGCCCTTTTTCTTGTAATCTCGACACTGCTTCTGTAGATAAATGAATAATAGATAAATTCATTTCTATTTTTTCTAAATAAATTATATAAAAATGTACAGTATGAAAAGTGGAAATTCATTTGCTAAAGATTATATTTAACAGTGTTATTTAATGATTTGTGTTTTTAAAGATTAATTTCAAGTGAGTGTTAAATGACAGCAAAGATCATCTAAATGTAAAAATAGGGGAAATGAGCATGAACTATTAAGTGTCTCAAATACCAGGTAATTTCAATATCCACCAATAAATATAAAAAATCAGTAACACTAAATAATATGATTTTTTTTGTAGTAAAACAAATAAAACAAAGATGAATATTTTAAAATGTTTTACATGAAATACTATTTCAGTCTTTCTTTAATTTATGTCTTGTTTGCCATTTCTTTGTAATTATTTGTGAAATGTACTGGCAATTTCTGAGTGAAAATTGCTTCTACACCATATTAATTCTGATATATCGTGTATCCCTAATATAATTTCAGGCCTAAAAATGCATTTTGTATCTTTAAAAAATTTAATTTTTACATTAAATTGTTCAAATATGCTTCTAATCCTAAAATATAGTTAGTTGGCTCAGAAAAGACCTTTTTTGAGGAAAGAAACATCTTGTATTAAGGATTCAATCTTTTGAACTTTCTGACTCTCTCTAGAGGCTGGAAAGCAGACAGAATGTGTAATAAGTGATACAGGGTGGAAAAGACCCTCTCTTGCATTACTTTGACTAATCATTCCAAATGGCCATAATCATTCCCTTAACATTCCCAAGATTATCATGCAGTCTAACTTAACTGTATGTACATTTTCTCTCATGCTCTATTACCTACATCTCTCTAGAAGTCTGTACATGGTTCTCCTCCCCTCCCTACATCCCCCAGCCCACTTCACTCATCTTCCTCCTCTCCTTCCTTACTTCTGCATGTCACACTGCAGTAAAAGAACAATGGAGGGGTCGCTCTTGGCCGCCTCTTTGAACTCCTCCAGCGTGATCTCGTCGTTGTGGTCCTTGTCCATCTTGCTGAAGATTTTGTCCACACGCTGCTGTGGGGTCAGCCCATCTTCGTTCATACGCATCATGATCACCGTCCCAACCATCTTGTAGATTGCCTGGACATCAGAGACAGCCCAAAAAAATGGGATGAACACACTTCTAAAGCAAACACGTATTTTATTATGTGATGCAGTGCCTTCTCTGAATCCCTCACCTCAATGATCTCCAGCATTTCCATGCGTGTGATCTTGCCGTCTCCGTCCAGGTCGTACATGTTGAAGGCCCAGTTGAGTTTCTGCTCAAAACTTCCCCTGGAAGTAATGGACAGCGCGCAGATGAACTCCCTGAAGTCAATGGTACCATCATTGTTTTTGTCAAATGTCCGAAAGGCATGCTGGGCGAATTTTGAAGCGTCGCCATAAGGAAAGAACTGAAAGACACAAAACAGCATCTTGCTTTTAGTACACTTTTTAGTAACTTAACTACATAGCCCTACTTAAGAGAACAGTCCACCCCAAAATGATAATCACCATTTTTATGATATCTGTATAGCGACTTCTCATCATTTTTGTAGTTTTATAGTCCCTAGTCGTAATGATCTCATTTTATGGAAATATGAAGGTCAAGATTCTGCTTGACATCTTTTGTGTTCCACATAAGAAGAAAGAACGTCATACTGGTTTGGAACAGCATGAGTGTAACTAAATCATGATGACAGAATTTTCACATTTGGGTGAACCAACCCTAATATGCTGGTTATGTTTTGAAGCCTGGCAGCTGGTTTGAGCTGGTTTAAGCTGGTCCTTGGTTGGTCATGAGCTGGTTTAAGCTGGTCCTGACTAGTTGCTTAGGACCAGCTTTAACCAGCTAAGGTCCAGCTTAAACCAGCTCAAACCAGCTGCCATGATTCAAAACATACCTAACCAGCATTTGCTGGGGGTTTTTTCAACAGGGAAAGCCTTGACAATATTTTTCAGTGTCTTTTTTAAATTTCCTTCATGTACCTGAGGGTCACACTGAGAGTAGGTATATCTAATGTGGAAAGCATCCTTTTGACTTCCCTCACCTTGACATAGAGTTGCTGGAACTCTTCCAGATTGAGGATGCCAGATGGACAGTCCTTCAGGAACCCCTTATACCACTGCTTCAGCTCAGCTTCGTTGAACTCTGTACTCTTGGTCAAGTCATCAAGCACCTCAGGAGCAAGCTTGCTGTTGTGTTTCCCCATCTTTCTACACCTCTCTGTGAACAAGCTGGGCAAAGAGCCATTAAAATACATTCATGCTTTATGGCAGTGGTTCTCAACCAGCGGCCCGTCACGAATTCAAATGCGGCCCACCATGGTGAACACAATCAAAAAAAATTACTTTCAGTTTTACAAATCAATTTAGTTTTTACATTAATTAAAAAATGTACTAAACAAATATAAGCTATAATGTTTTTGTTATGTAAAATAATTTTGTTTTTCATAAATGATTTTCAGACAGAAATTCAAATGCGGCCCACCATGGTGAACACAAATAAAAAAAAAATTACTTTCAGTTTTACAAATCAATTTAGTTTTTACATTAATTAAAAAATGTACTAAACAAATATAAGCTATAATGTTTTTGTTATGTAAAATAATTTTGTTTTTCATAAATGATTTTCAGACAGGAGCAGACCTGTCGGCTTCTCACGTAATTAACCTTACGCATTTAACACTTACAAGCACGCACTTTAGCAGAATTCAATTTAAATAGTAATCAGCAGCCATTAGTTCAGTAAAATTGAGCATCAGAATGGACAAATTTGTTATTAAGGGAGAAAATCGAAATGCACATTTTCTGCAATGTCACACGTCAAATCACACTTCCATGCGCGTCTTACAGACTGCAACTTACAATCGCAACTTCCTTGTGCTGTTACTCCTTTCGAGATGAATTTCACAAAATTGGTCAGCTCCCGACAGCATCAGGTGCTTTATTAATGGTGAGTAGAATTATTTATTTATTTGAATGAATGTAATCGATTAGATTTTATAATATTTATGCTATAATATTATAAATCTGGTTGGTTTGTATTGGTGATGTAATATGTAAGTGATATGCGTGCGGCCCGTGAGACTTGCACTTAGACCATAGTGCGGCCCAGTGGAAAAAAAGGTTGAGAACCACTGCTTTATAGACTGACAACAGCGATAAAAAACAGAAATGTATTGTGGACAGTAGGTCTCTTGACAAGATTAAAGTGAAGGAGTAATGCAACGGAGAATTGCACAATTTCACACCTTTCTCATTACTTCTGCCTCAAGTATTTGAAAAATCAAGAGTAGAGCAAGATTGTATCATTACCAAAAACTTTTATCATTAACAAAGACTTTTGTTAATTAAATGGTACTTCATGTTCTCTCAAGTCGAGTTCTCATTCATTTTCTCTAGAGAGAAAGAGATAAAACGTTCAAGGCACACTTAACATTGAGCTCTGAGGTTAATAATCAATGGTATACGTTTCTGTTGAAGCCATCAGTCAGAGCTATTTCACCATTTTTGTTAAAATGTAAATAAATTCAGGTGAAGAACTACATGACCATGATTCTTTGTTTCTTTAATGTTTTAGGTAACTTGTGAAAATAAAATGTTAAAATATGGGTGAAATAATGTTCCATTGTCATTTAGTGTAACAAATATGTTTATATAAAATTGAAACAACATTAAAGATTTAAATGTTAATGTTTAAGCCATATGGAGCAAACGAACAGGAAAATAATACTTTTGAAATCAATGAAATATTGGGTGTTCACTCTTGCTCTCTGTTATGTGAATCAACCATCAGTGATCAGAGTAAACAATTTCTAAACTTAAAGCTAAAATATATGAACAAGTGTAACAAACTAAAATTAATCTGAAACTTAAAATCATATATATCACAAAAATAAAATCAAGTAATTTTTTTTCAACACTATCCACCTCATCTTAAAGGGATGGTTTACCCCAAAATTAAAATTCTGTAATTAATTACTCACCTTCATGTCCTTCCAAACCCGAACGACCTTCGTTCATCTTCAGAACACAAATTAAGATATTTTTGATGAAATCCGAGAGTTTTCTGACCCTGCATAGACAGTAATGCAGCTACCACTTTCAAGACCCAGGAAAAGGACCATGTCTTAGTCCATCTCTTGAACGTGTTATTGTGAAAATAAAATGTTAAAATATGGGTGAAATAATGTTCCATTGTCATTTAGTGTAACAAATATGTTTATATAAAATTGAAACAACATTAAAGATTTAAATGTTAATGTTTAAGCCATATGGAGCAAACGAACAGGAAAATAATACTTTAGAAATCAATGAAATATTGGGTGTTCACTCTTGCTCTCTGTTATGTGAATCAACCATCAGACTGACATGTAAAACAACCAATCAGTGATCAGGGTAAACAATTTCTAAACTTAAAGCTAAAATATATGAACAAGTGTAACAAACTAAAACTAATCTGAAACTTAAAATCATATATATCACAAAAATAAAATCAAGTAATTTTTTTTCAACACTATCCACTTCATCTTAAAGGGATGGTTTACCCCAAAATTAAAATTCTGTAATTAATTACTCACCGTCATGTCCTTCCAAACCCGAACGACCTTCGTTCATCTTCAGAACACAAATTAAGATATTTTTGATGAAATCCGAGAGTTTTCTGACCCTGCATAGACAGTAATGCAGCTACCACTTTCAAGACCCAGAAAAAGGACCATGTCTTAGTCCATCTCTTGAACGTGTTAGTTCAAAAATATCATCAAAAATATCTTCATTTGAAAGTGTCATTTGCTTCCAGTTATTTTAGCTGTACAAAACAGTTTAGGGGTGGAATGGTTCGCGCGAAAAAAATCGAACAGTACAGTTCGGCACGCGCCAGGACCACGGTTCAACTTAAATCTGACAACGCATCTGTAATGGTTTGCTATAAATAACACGTAGGGTCTAAAACGTGGACAAAATATTCTCTCTTGTTCAATGCAAATGCCGTATGCTGGAATATGAGCATTTATTCCGTCATCACCCGGGTTCTGAGGCGCGCGCGCACAGGTGAGACCTGAACAGCACACGTTGATATCTGTGTTTAAGCTAAACTCATTTAAGCTTTGCCAGTGTAAACATTTAAGGGCCAGATTTGTGCTTGTGCTCATCCGAAGCGCGCAAACTCGCGCCTCAGAATGCGTGCAAATATTAAGCTCTCTCTGAAGTATTGTGTTTAAATGGACAAATTCACACAAAAATTATGTCAAAATGCCCGTCTTGGTAAGTATCCTATAGCAGACATAGCCGGCTGAACATACTGTATCAGTGCACTGGATCAGAGCATTCTCTTAAAGTGACAGCACTTTCTTAATATTAATCAAACAGCAACAACAAAGAAATCATTCACTGCTCTTGATTGAATAGCTTTTGTAACTTTAATCAAGAATAGTCTTTAATATATACAGTCAAATATGCAATGCTGTTTTACATTTCATTACGTTATTCAATTTCTGTACCTAAAAATGTATGTTATTTGTATCTTTACTCTATTGTATTTATTTGTGCTGTTGCTTGTAGTTAGATAGATTATTCTTATTTTCTTTATTTTTATTTGACAGTATAGTTTTTGCCTAAACATAGCACATACCATACCGAAACCATGACTCTAAAACCGTGATACAAACCGAACCATGACTAAGATGAACCATTCCCCCCCTAAAACAGTTATGCTGCTTAATATTGCAAACTGGTATTTCTTTTATTTTAATGTAATGTTGTAATTATAAATACACTGATTTGCAGTGCAAATAGTTTTACCATTTACTGTGCTTTGTTACTCTTGTAGTTATTTACCTACAATGCTGTGTAAAGTACAGTCTGATTAGAACTAGTCACAGCTGATGTTTCCATTTCTCTGTCTTCTGTTAGCAGCTGTTGCCTGCTATTCTTTTGGGGTTTTACACTTTGTCATGACATTATGTTTTATAACATGTCTGCCTCTGGCTGAATCCGAGATATATTAAACCAAATCCAAATTGCCCTGGGCTTTGAAAATGGATATATTTGGGTGCACATATGACAAATGAGGCACTGCGTTAATGAGTCATTATCTCCGCTCTCGGATTATTAAAGTTCATTAAATATTGAACAGGTCTAAATAGTTGACGAGGGGCACATGACTACGGAATACAGCAGCAGCAGCTTTGCAGAGGAACTCATCTGAGACGTTCTGAGACCCGGTCGCCCACGGCGCTATTTTCTCCCCCTGATGGAAGGTCATTTTAGTGGGATCATGATGACTAATCAGAGGTGAGCATTCATCTCCTCTCGTTTTCTCTTGCTCTTTTTCACTCCCTCTCTGTCGCTGACCTTTTTTGGAATTCTGTGGTCTGGTGGCTTTGCTAATCTTGGCATCTTTCTGATTAGGTAACTTTAGACAGGGGGGTTTAATTAAAGATCTAAGTGGTTAATGAACTGTATGGCTGACAACATTCGCCTCAAGGCTCTGGAAAGCTGATTCTTTGGGGCTGGTGAGACAATCCACTATTGTTTTCAATCAGAAAGGCTTCCATCAAACTCTGCAAGCACTCATGCCCACAGGCCGACCTTTGTTAACTCGTTTGTAATGAGTGACTGCTCAAAGAGCCGGCGTGCAAGAGGAAACCAAATCTGTCAATCATTACTCCAGAGCCTTCTATGAAACTGCAAAGGAAATGAAGAATGGCTCAAATTGGAAAGCAATGTTGGTGGAGGGGCTTATGAAAGTTAATCTACACCCATTTCGCTTTGGAACCTGTGAGCGAGTTGTGTGGTTACCTGGGAGTTGTAACAACAGTTGAACACACTTTGTGGAAACAACTTTATCCCACTGGTTTTGGATTGTTGTTTAAGCAAACATACACTACAGCACTGAATTTTGTTGTACTTTGGTCTAGGCCCAGGCCCCAGACTGGTGCAGCTTAGCAGCATCTTCTGTGCACACTTGTGAAACACACTGTGATAATTTCAAAATTTGTGAAAATAAACTGTTCAATCAGTAGGGAAAACTATGGGTAAAAATATAGGTTTTTCCAATTAATTGCGATGTTCATTTGAACTATCCCGATATTGATTCTTGAAATCACTAGATCGATCTTTACTCTATTTTCAGTGGCTGTGTGAAAAGGTATTTGTTGCACTTACTGTTCTGAAGCTGTCTGTGTTCAGCTGAACTCACTCAACTGTGCTGCCTGGGCCCTGTTGTTAATTCT